CCCTAAGACAGTAAATGCTGGTCCCCAAGTATTCCCATCCAGGGTTTCGGATCCCCTCTCTCTGTTCCTTTAAGATTTCATTTTGTCCCCAATTCTTTTTCCTTTCTTACTCAAGTTAATTTCAAAAACATTAATTCCTTTTTCTTTGGAGCCTTCATCAACATATTTAGACATGCCAAGCCAGACAACAAGTTTTCTAGCACCAATGAGACAGGGCTACTGATATAGGGAAGTTCAGCATGGAACAAACAGAACCAAGACACGTGCAAATGATTTGCTGGCTGTCCCCATTACATATAGCTGAGAAGATATTAACTTCGAAATGGTAAGTGGACATAAAGCTTCGATGAAAGTTTTTTGACTTACAGAGATTTGGGGCAATTGAATCTTCTGAAATTGACTGAGAACAGGTATAGCAAGCTTTCTGAAAACATAATATGATAAAAATTCAATTTTGACAAGCAAAACCAAAAAAAATTTAATTAACCAAAAGCAAGTACAAGGCATATCTTCTTAGCATTGGTTTATAGAATCCTACATGCACATGTAGCACATATATTTGCCAGCAAAAGGGACAAAATAATGTGAAAATATCACTTTATAGCTTCTTTTTTTGTCTTTGTAAAATCATTTAACACTAGTATCTCTCTTTATTGAATTCCACCCCACGGACAACAGTTAGCAAAATGGAGTTTTGCAAACTTGCTTGCACCCTTTAAAATGAAAGCAATTGAAGCAAGGAAGGACAGTATCCTGTCTTATCAACAAAACAACAATGCTATTGTAGCTATCTTTAATTTTAAATTGTAGAAACTGAAAATTATGCACATTACTAGATATATATGTAAAATCATATATACATATGCAACCAAAATACAACAGAGCACATATGTCAGCAATCTTGCCAAGCTTGCACTCACTAGAAAGAAAGCAATGCCCAATTATGTATCTCCATAAACTTTCAAAGTCTAAATACCATTATGAAGGACTTACAGTTTCTATGCCAGTCAGTTCATTACAAGAATATGTACCCAGTACCTTTTCTCAAAGACTAACAGAAACAATCACATCTATAACAGACAAATGGAGCTCACCATTCTAATAACATGCTGTATTCCACTACCTCCAAAGGAATGCCCGCAAGGCAATATCATTGCATCATCCATCAGAGCTCCCCTGCAATTCGACACAGCTCAAAGACTATGAGTCACCAATAGCATCTTGGTTAAAGCTAAAAATCCAGAAAAGTATAACCAAATAACCAACACTTGAACAAACAAAACTTACGTCACAGGATCAGAGAGAATTGCTCTCAAAGAGTCTCCAGACTCGGACGAATACATAACATCCTTTCTTCCACTAAACCCACATCCATTTTCCACAACTGAATCCTTTTGAGCAGAACCAGACCCCTCAGACCCCTGCAAATACTGAGAATAATAAATGTCACCGTCTGGTTCTGCGACTGTGACCACATTGTGATAGTTTCCAAGCCTTCCTTGCTGAGTATCACTGGGACTAGCCCTTGTGTTGTTGTTCATTATTTGCTGCCCCACACTATGGTCTTTCACCAACACCTCTCTACTTGATCCTACTATCACAGTCCCACCTAATTATAAATAAATAAAATAAATAACATGAAAAGCAGCATTCAACGACAGTTTCCAAAATTAGAAACTATATCATGACAAGCTCAGAACTTTCCGCAAAAATTGCTTACCAAAAGAAGAATGGTGCTGGTTATGGTGCTTAACTTTCCCATTTCCCATTTTGTCTTCCCCATTGTTTCCATTATTACTAGCAATGCCCTTGTTTCTGTTATCCACTCCGACAAGCCCTCCAACTTCAGCGTCACCTTCATCAACCTCATCATCATCGTCCACGTCATCCTCGTCGTCGTCGTCGTCGTCATCCTCGTCCGATCCCTCACCGCTCGGCGTCGTGTCGGCTCCATTCGAGTTCCAGTTTCGCGGTTCGGGTGGCTCCCGGCGGTCCGGATTCTCGTTATACATGCTGGGGCGGAAATCAGCGCTTTGCGGCGCGAAAAACCGGTCGTCAATGAAACCGCTGAGCTCTCGGGTCTTCGGACCCGAATCCCCGACCCGGCGCTGAGGCGGAGCTCCGCAATTGAAGCGCAAGTTCTCGTCTTGGAAAACGAGCTGAGAGTTGAGCCCGTTCTGGGTCGGAACCAGACCTAATTTTTCGGAGGACATCTTTGGGCGGAAGTGGGAACTGAAAACCCTAATTTGGGGAATTGGGCATAATTTGGCGACTGCAATTAGGGGAATTAAGGGTTTGGGAAGGTGAATTAGGGTTTTAGCTCAGTGACTGGGTGGCGAAAAAGACTCTCAGAGTCAGAGGGGTGTATTTGCTTACATGGAGTATTGGGGAAGTAAAAAAGTGTAAAGCTTTGAGATTGGGAAGCTCAGTTGGAAATTAGGAAAAATAAAGGACTTAAAAGCATTAAACTTTTAATTTCAATTAAGCCACTGCAAAATGGTAGAACTACAAAATTATCTGAATCTTCACTATTCTTCTTGGATTGGAGCCTCTTCAGTATTTGGACCAGTTGGCGGCCCATCTTCATCTTGGTACATGTCGAATGAGTCGAAAACGGCGTTGTATTTGGAGAAAAAAACAAAGAAAAGAAAGGATAAGGCTTCGGTGGGAGGAGGATTGAGGTGGAGAAGACATTGAGACAGACCGACAGACAGATATATATTACATACCAAACCAATCACAAAATTCACATTGACACTGACTTTGACTTTGACATTGACTTGGACATTGATGTTGAAATGAATGAACTTTTGTTTTTGTGTTTTCACGATTTGATTTCAGCTTGCATTTTACTCATGCTTTGCTCTTTATTATGGTAAATAAATCAGGAAAGTTATGAATGTGTTCCAAGTTTGAGGTAAGAGGTTTTATGACTAATTATTTTGGTAATCCAAAGGAGTAGTGATACTGTTTGCTTGCTCCCCAAGTTTTCATGACTTGGCCCCAATAAAAGTTAACAAGCTTCCTCAACAAGCAAACAAGCCCCTTTCTCTCCCCTCCCTTTTTCTGTTTCTTAAAGTCATTTGGTGAAGTGAAGTTGCTTTTGTTTGGATTATGCATTTCCAATCTCCTTTTTTGTGTTTGTGGTTTTAAGATTGTCCTGTTCTGAACTTCTGAACTTCTATCTATCACTCAACCTGATTGTTTCTTGCTCTTATGATGCCAATTTTGAAAGTTGAAGACTAGCTTAAGGCAATTTTGTGAATGAAATTTTTCTTCAACTACATGGCCAATGCTTAATCTCAATATATCTTGTTTGCCATCTGAATTCCATCAAACACAGGGATCTTCTTTTGAAGGTTGATGACTGGTTCGGGTTGTGTACGCATCAATCAATCATGGATGTTGTTTTTGGGTTTAGTTTTTCTTAACAAGAAAATCAGTTGTTGGTTCCTTACTGTTATATGGACAATCAAACATTCAGGGTCAGCTTAGGTGTTGGCATATGTTCTTGTCTGGTAGTGATTGCTCTCTGTCTTGTATAATTGCATATATGCAATTAAGTGCATGTATGGAATTTGGGAAATCTACTAGTTCAGGGCCTTTTAATTTCAATCTGGGGCAGAGATGGGTGGAGTGATAATGTGGTTTAAAGGAAATGTAGAGCAGGAGTGATGCAAGAGCATAGGGTGGATCAAGATAGATATTTACCATTTAATTAGTTATTTCATGATATATTGTTATTTTCTTATTTAGGTAGTTTTAGGATATCTTTTATTATTTATGTGTAATTTTATAATTAACTAATTTACTTTTGGACCAAGTAGCCTTGGTGCCCAAGTCTTGTAAAGCCTATAAATAAGGCTAATGTAATAGTTGTAGGAAAGTTGATGCTGATGATTAATGAAATAGTTTATTTGTGGCATAGATTTGCTACGATATATGTGAGTTTGCACTAGCCCTAGATTTCGGTGCTCATGTATGTGGTTGGTGACCTGCGTCCTGACCTCGATCCCCATCAAGGATGGAGATGAAAATATTTGAGTCTTTATTCATTCACTGATGTGCAAAACCAGAGAGAAGATCATATAACAATTTGGGTAACTAGTCCATTTAACTTACATTCCTTTTCTTTTTTTCTGCTTCCTCTCATAATGCGATGCTGTCTGCTGACAGAATGTTTGGATTTAACAGAGATTACATTTGACTAATTAAATCCTGATTTATTCCATCATGCTATTAAACTGGATATACTAAACCAGTTCTCAATGAAAAAAAAAAAGAGCCAGGTTGGAGAACACAGCTGAAATTTTGACATAATAACTATAACAGAAAGCTGCAAATGCCATCTCATGAGGCCAGATCAAATCAATCATAGCAAAAACTGCTAGTGGGCATGTGTTGATTTGGACCTGTTGTTGGTAGGTGCGTGCCGTGCCCCCACCTACCAATGCAACACAAGAGGCTCCAGTTTCAAACTTTCAATTGCTGTGACAAAAAGTTGAAGGGCTCTCAAGTTGTCCTTGAACAAAAGCAAAGCATGAAAGCAAAATACAAAACAAGATTTCTTTATGCGCAACGCTTCTCCTCAATAATGCCTTCTCACTTTATATTTTCTCCAAACAATGGAAGCAAGCAGCAGCTTTTTGCAGCCTTTCGTTTCAGTGCATTGCTGCCCATCTTTTGTAAGTTGATTAATCTTAGACATTTGGGAGTTAGTTTGTGAAAGCAAAGTCTTTAACTTGACTGCCCAAACCAATGCACATTGAGCTACAACCTTGCATCTTGAGCTCAATCGATGTTATCAAAGGCAGTGAGATTCTTGACTTTTGATGAGGTTACATGGAATGGAAGAAAACATTATGGGACAGAGCAACAGATAATAATAATATAAACCCAAGCACTTGGGAATATTACCAAAAAAAGAAAAAAGAAAGAGGTGTATATTTGTTTTCTTCACCTGCATTAATAATCCATATCCAAAGAAACTCTAATTTATCAAGGAAGCCATGTGCTAGCTGATAATGCAAATGCCAATGCATTTATTTATTGTTCTCTTCTCTTGGGCCCAAAACCATATTTATTTAAGTCATGGCTGAGTGCACTAGGGACAACTCATTGGCATTGCTTTGCAATCTATGCACATGGCTATGGAAATTTATATTCTTTGACTGCCCTTTAAAGAAACGGGGTGTTCTTTTCCGTGCGTTGTAGTTGTTAGTAGAAGTGCCTTATTTTTTTAATTATTATTATAGAGAAATGCGATAGTATTTTATTGATAGGAGGAAAATCAACTCGTACAAAAACTGAGTTATGTCGTTGGAATTAAACGAGTTTCTCTATACATGCGGAATTAGTTGCCAGTCTAACTAGGTAGCCTTATTTTTATGTTTTTCCAATTGTGCCTTTGGCCAGTGAGATGTCAAAGAGGAGATGGGCAATCCAAGCAATTCATTGGAAAGAGAAAAACACTGGAGAGTGTTTAAAGAGAAATAAACAAAGAAGACATTAGAAGAAAGTTGAAATTAGAACCTAAAGATACGGGTGGCATAATATATAACATAAAAAAAGATTGCTTCTATTCCGACAGGGCATCATCATGTGTGAAGTAAAATATTCTTATAGCTTCACCATCCGTTATCTTCAAGATGCTCTATCTCTTTATAATATGAATATAAGCATGCCCTACCATTTTGGGTTTTTCTTCCTTTTGAATTATTATACTCAGCTCTTTAGATGCATTTGCCTTAAAGTGGGCACTAAGATTCTCTGGTCTCCTCAGCCTCTCAACTCACTTTTGACTTGCAGGTTGTATTTTATTGCCATTGCATTGCCATCATTGGCAACACATGGGCCAAGAACAGCCACCAACCCCTTCCCCATACATGTCTTTCAAAGTCAATTCTGCCCTTTCATTGTTTCTTTGGTTCTATATTTCTTTTCTGCAGGAGGGTTCTTGATATGCATGGTTTAGTAACTGCAAGAGCCTCATTAAGGAGATAGCAATCAACAAGTACATATAGATAATAAGTTGCAGAAGAAAACAGATTAAGAAGTATGCTCAGTGATATGTTTGCAAAACTTTCTAAAGCCTTTAGAAGTCAACAATATAATCAGCTCTTAGAAAGAAACATGACCAAGACAGAAACTGGAAGAGTACAAAAGATTAGTAGTGACAATATCTGAGAGGGACCCAAATTTGGAACCCGGCAAAGAAGAATCTGGTGACCTAGCTACTTGTAGCATGGGAGGAGAAACTACAGAAATAAACAGGAAATCCACAATAGAAGGAAAATAACTACAACAATACAGAAAAGAAAAACCTTCCAACAATAAAAACTTTCTTCTCCCTCGGATGACAGGAACCAACTGGATTCTTCTGTGCCGGATATCCCATTGCAAATCCCTTCACTGAATATCTGTTAAGATTAGTTAAATTCATCACAACTCCTCTTGGCCTTCCGATGGACATCTGATCAGCTCCAATATGTTGACCACCTCCGCCATGTCTGGTCTGTTTGACGGCACTTGTGATGTGCATATCAAGCCTAATTTCATAACAGGAATAGCCTCTTCTGCAGGGAAATTTCCTTGGAGCCTGCCATCAATGCATTCCTCTACTCTACCTTCTTCTAATGCTCCTCTGACCATGTCGCAAAGAACCACAACATCATCTTCCATGTACTCGACAGGCCTCTTCCCAGTGACTACCTCCAGAACCAAAACCCCAAACCCATACACGTCACATTTCTCAGTTATCTTTACTGTTTTGCAAGCGAACTCTGGTGCCATGTAGCCAAGGGCACTCTGGATCTTGCTGCTCAAAACATATCGGTCAAGCATTGGCAACAACCTTGCTAGGCCAAAGTCTCCCACTTTTGGTTCGCCTGAGCTGCCGATCAGGACATTGCTAGATTTTATGTTGTAGTGAATTATGTTCATTTGATGCAAATGAGCCAAACTTTTCGCAGTTCCAAGAATTATATTGAACCTGTCATTCCATGACAGGAAGTTTCCACCTGCTCCATCATGAAGATGCTTATATAAACTACCGCCAGAGACATATTCATATATGATGAGCTGTAATGATGGAGTCCAGTAATAGCCTTCGATTTCCACAAGATTATCATGCCTCACTTTCCCCAATTTCTTAACTTCCCTTTCAAATTCTTCTTGAGACTTGACAAGACTTGAAACAGTGAGCTTCTTGATTGCAACAGGCCGCCCATCTCGAAGAACTGTCCTATAGACTGCTCCAAACCCTCCACGACCAAGCTCACAGTCCTTGTTGAGTAGAGCATGTGCACCAGTGCTGAAGTCAGGCTCACCTGAAAACATGACAAGCTTGCCGGAGTTGCCATCTGTTGTTGGGGAATGGCTGAAATCATCCCCAGCTGATAACGCGAGGGCTGCTGGTGAATGAGTTGTAGAAGATCGAACACGGAGATTAAGTACAGTGATGGCAATCACACCAATGACAATGACAGCAGCTGCAGCAATGGCAATGAGTGCAGAAATACTAAGGATGATTCTTCTATGACCAAGATTTGAAGATAATGTTCCTGGTGTGGTGGAGTCAGAAGAGGAGTTGGGATTGAGGACAATGGGTTTTGGAAGAACTGTTGGGCAAGACTTATTAACTGCAGAGCCACAAAGAGATGGATTGCCAGAGACAGAGGAAGGGGAGATGGTATTGAAAAAGGCGCCCGCAGGTAGTTCACCCTGGAGGTTGTTGTGGGAAATATTGAAGGAAAGAAGGTTGGGAAGATTGGCTAACTGCTTGGGTAGGCCTCCCGTGAGGTTATTGAAAGACAAGTCCACATTTTGTAAGTTGGTAAGTTTGGCCATTGCTGCAGGTACTGGGCCAGTCAGTCTGTTCTGTGATGCAATTCTGGAGAATTCAAATGAAAGAACATATCAAAAAACAAGAAAAATATGTTAGAATGATAAAATGGAGTAGGACTTGGATTACAACCCCATAACAAAATTAGTGACAACGAAACCTTTGAGCTAGTAGCTAGTTTTCAAGAAGGAGATAGCAAAAATCCAGACTAATGTGGTATTACACGTTATCATCAAACAAAAGTGGCAGCAAGAGATTTCACGTCTTCATTACTTCCCAGAAAATCAGTATGCAATTCATTAACATGAAACAATCTCAAACAACAGAAAAATATATCTCTGTACTTCGAAATCAAATTGCAGTACTTGAAGTTCTCACTTCCCAGTATGACCAAAATGTCTACAACATGAAAGATAATATTTAAAGATACTATGTAAAAGTAGACTTCTTAAGTGCAAACACACATGAATCCATTTCGACAATGAGCCAAAGAAAAGTTTTATGTGCAAATTAGTTCTCAGTTCTAGGTTAAGGTAAATGCAGAATTTCCCAATAACAAGCATCCAAAATGTTTAAATGAAACCTGGATTCGTGCGTGAATCCCAAACTACCCGTTAAAATTAAAAAAAGCACGAGACAATAAATGAATTGTAGAGTTAAGAGAACTTACAAAGTGGTCAGAGAAGAACAGTTCCCTATTGAAGTTGGAATTTTTCCCGTGAGAAGGTTATTTTCCAATCTCAATTCCTTCAATGAAAAAGCCCCACCAATTTCCAGAGGGATGCTTCCACTGAGCCGATTCTCACTCAAATCCACATTGTCCAGGGCCTTCAACTCTCCAATAGTCACAGGAATAGGACCAACAAGAGAGTTACCGGAGAGGTTCAAACTAAGTAAACTGCTTAAGACCCCAATGTCAGATGCAATTTCACCAGAAAATTGATTAAGGATAAATCCACGACTTGCAGATTTTGAGGCGCATTTCCAATTGAGGAAGATACAGGGCTATTTGCGCTTCCACTTAGTTTTTTCTCTGAAAGTGAAACTTCCTCTAAACCCGCCTTGAATATCCACGCAGGAAGTTCACCCGCCACCGAATTCTTACTAAAATCTAAAGCCACAAGGCTTGTGCAATAAGCCATGGACTTGGGTAAGTTCCCAGTGAACCCATTTGCAGAAAAATTCAACACCTTTAAAGCCTGAAGATTACCTATTGAACTTGGAACTTCGCCCAAAAATCGATTGCCAGAAAGGTCCAAAGTCTCCAGGCTCTTCAACTCTCCAATCCACTCAGGAATCTCTCCGGCAAATGAGTTTTGGTGCAGATTTAGATAGCTACACAGGCTAAGTTTCTGCATTGTCTGAGGAAGGTTCCCAGAGAATGAATTCTCGCTGAGATCAATGGACCTCAAAAGCAAGCAACTTCCAATTCCATCTGGAACTTGCCCAGTAAACCGATTCTTCCCCAAATTAACTGCTCGCAAGTTATTCAGTCCTCCAATGGCCTTTGGAATTTCACCTTCCAACAAATTATTAGACAAATCCAGTGATCTAATCCCATTCAAGGACCAAATCCCAACTGGAACCGAACCCGAAAACTGGTTCAACGACAAGTCAATTGCGGCAAGACTCGCACAAGAGCCCAAACTCTCAGGAATTTTCCCGGAAATTTTGTTCTTGGCCAAAGAAATCGTTCTCAGAGACCCACATTGCCGGAAGAAGTCTTCGGGTACAGGACCAGAGAAACTGTTCTCGCTCAAGTCAAGTGCTCGTAGGTTGTCGATATGTGCAATATTAGGGGTTAAGCTTCCGGTGAGATTGTTCTTGGAGAGGGACAGCTTTCGCAGAGATTGTAACTGGAGGAGGCCTCGGCCTACATGACCCGAAAGAGAGAAGTCGTCAAGACTGAGCTCAATGACCCTGTTGGATCTTGGATGGCATTTCACGCCATCCCATTTACATGGGCTATCGTCGTCTTCGCTCCAAGTTGCTAACTTTCCTTTTGGATCTTGAATATCAGCCTTGAACACTATCAGCCCCAAGACGTCGTCGTTCAGAGATGGGTTTAGAGATCTCCCAAGAACAGGAGCTAAAACAAAGACGGTGAATAATACGAGCAGCGGTTTCATGCTTAAAAATGCTCGCATTGTTTGGTGCTCAAAAGACCACACTAGAAAGCCATGAAGAAATTTAACCGACCCAGAAGACCAAACAGCTCAGAATCACTGGATGTGAGCTTGAAATGCTCAGATTTTCAACACAAACAAAACCAAAAGAAAAAGGCCAACTTTCTCCAACGGCTAGATTTGGTGGTGCGAAAAGAACAAAATGAGCCAAACTGTCAAAGTAGAGACTCTAATGCTCCAGAAAGTGGCGGCATTAGCAAATGAGAAACCAGAGAAACCGAAAATGGGTCGAAATGACAAAAGATTCACAGCTATGTGAAGTGTTTCAAAAAATACCCTAGAAATCTCTTCGCAGTGTAAACAGTTGAGCTGCAGAGATCAAACAGTTAGAGTAAAGTCACAGAAGAAACTCTGAGCTGGTTCGATCTATGAACCACCAAATGCCAAAATGGCCGGAAATCAGTCGGAACTTGTAGCACAGAGAAGCTCCGGCGACGGAGAAGAATTGGGATTCCGAGAAAGCTCGTAGAAAAAGCTTGAAAATGTAGGGGATTAGAGGGCTCTCTCTCCCTCTCTCTCTCTCTCTCTCTCCGAGCGTTGAGGCTGAGAGTCTTTTCTCTCTCTTCTTCTCCGTCTGTCAACCGTGTGTAGTCTTTTAAAGTCTGATGAGCTCTGAAAAGAGAAAAAATTAAATCAAAGTTTCTATCTTTATTAACGGCAGGGCGGGACCGGCTTGGTAGATGGGGGTGCTATTTATTACATATTGGACACGTGGCGTGATCCGTAGGGTGCAGGGTATCCGATGTGGCACACACCTAGTCGTCGTTATCGATGGTGCTTTTGACGTGGAAGGCACAAGTGGCGGTAATTGGCGATTGAGAGCTTGGAATGTGACTGAAGAACCAACTCAGGAACCGCCCCTGAAGTTGGCTAAATTTACGCTTCTGACATACAGCTGCAAGCAATCTAGGAAAGATGAAGGTTCAAATTAGGTAGCATGGCTAATTAACTGTATGTAATGTTCATTCATTCATGTTATACTTTTAGATAACAAAATCATGTTTTATTTCGTGAGGTGAATGCTTACATCAATCGTTCACGTATGTAAAGATGATTAACTGTTAATCATTGCACTTTAGCATAACTCTAATCATAAAGTTTTTAGAACTCGAGTGATTGAGTAGATACTTTGATATTTAATTATAAAAAGTTCAAGTGTTCTCTCCCTCCCTCCTTTTACTAATAAGAAGCATTCATATTAATTAATGCTGTTGAATTATGAAAATAACTATATAATTAGTACCAAAAAGTTAAATGTATCTTAATTTTCTTGCACTATTTTGTTCTTTTGGCATTGTTTTTGACTGGGAGAGGAGTTGACATAATCATAGACTACCCCATACATCTATATTAATTATGTTTCTTCTTGCCTTATTAATAGAAAAAACGACAAGCTCATTCATCATAACTGGTAAATGGGGTTACTGTAATCATCTGGTGCAGTGCAGAGGGTGAATTTGGAAAGTTGATATCTCTAACAGAAGGGCTAGCTGTGCTGAGAAAGTTATTGGGTGTGGATAGTGGAAAACATTGAACAGAGAGAGTGAAGGGGCAAAAGCAAAGCAATAAGGGCAATTAAGTAGGCTGGTGGAGGAGGTGGGTGGTGTAATAAAAGAAAAGGTGAGAGAGAGAGGGAGACAGAGAGACAGAGATACACAGAGGGAGAGAGAGAGAGACAGGTGTTGTGGTGGAGATTGCAGGGCTGTGTTTGTGTGACAAGGACTCAAACTTTCTTTGCTTTTGATCTTTCTTAAATTCTAGTTCTGTGTTTAAGCCCCTACCCTACTTCTCAGTCTCTTTATTTTTGGGTCACATACATTGTAAATGCACCCCTGCATACTTTATTTTTAACCCAACTCCTGCATCCTGCAGACTTTCACACTTTGCTGCTGCTGCAGGCTGTAGGTAAAATCATCTCTTGTTGGGTTCAATTGGATTGTCACTCTATTTAATATATATTATGCTTGCATTGCATGTTAAGCCATGTCACGAGGGAGGGAAATGCGCCTACCAACTACCAATTAGCAACACAAATTTTAATAAGAAGAAAAACATCCATGTCGCTGATTTTAGTTTCCCTTTAATTTTATCTCAAATTTTAATAAATATTAATGGGGGGTGTGAAAGCAAGTCATATCCAACCATAATATGTACTTCTGAAGCAATTTGGTTTGGCATCTTTAGATGCAATTAAGCCATTGATTATGGGCTAATTAAATTTAAGCTGCTGGGTTGTTCTCTTCTCTGTCCCTCAAGCTTTCATTGGACCTTTGCTTGCACTTGCACACACACACAGCCAGCCAGTCTAATCAACATTTCACAGTTTAGGGTTTTAGAGACTTGGAGGAGCACTTTGTGTTGTCTTTATGCATTGAGGCATATAGCCGACTTCTTTGCTCAGAATTTGGAACTTACTGTAGCACCAAAAGAATAAGTCCATTCTGCACTACAACTTTTGGGCTGTCAAGCAGGTTGCTTGCTGCAGCTACTGCCATCTATCTCTCTATACTCACCTTCAAACAGCAATCACAAACATGGTATTGTTCCTCTCTTCCTCAACATACCCTATTTTGTGATACATAATTAATACAACTAATCCCAATACTTAGAGGTAAATACATGTATGTAATGACATTTAATGACCCCTTTTCTCAGTGATTATGGCTTAAAAAAGAGTAAAGGTGAATAATGAACATGTGGCCAAGACTAAATGGCAACCACTATTGCCAAAAACCCTAAAGCTTGTTAGGTGCCGTTAGGGCAATTTTTTAAGTGGTGGTTGTGAATTCCAAAAAGGAAAGAGAGGGTACTGTGCCAGCTGCATGTCAATTCTCTTTAATTATCTGACTTTTTCTCACTGGACAGTAAAACGACATGGTCCAACTGATGATGCATCTTTTGCAATTTTACCCTTGTGTTTTTAACTTGCTTTTTTTCTGCAGTGTGCTTTTGTTTTGTGTTTATTGGTCAATCAGAATTGCCGGGTTGGCAGGAATTTCTGGGCAATATACCGGCAGCCTGGGAAGGAGAAGAGGAAAAAACTAAAAGGAAGAAGACAACGCATGAGTGGGACCAGTTTTTTTGAATATTTCAATGGAGGGACTCTCCATAGTCCATAATGGATTCTTTCTTCTTGTTAACCTTTGAATTTTCTCCACATGAATACTGGATAGAAAGAAAGGCAAAATAATGAAAAGCTAAAAATGAAAAATATGAACAATGATGAGTTATTATAGTCATGCTGATTTTTCAAATAAATGCCATAGATTATTAAACATTTTACTTGTATCGCATCATATTGTTAATGATGGGTAAATGTGAATTTCATTATTAAAAAAATAGAGAAAATTTTGCATGCAATGTCATGCATGTTCATCCCAAACTAATGAAACGAGATGATAATTGCATATGTAGATTAGCCCAATTGACTAATGTGGTGTACTCGTCTCCTTGCACCCGAATTTGAGTAGTTAGAATATAGCTTCGTCAACTAACAAAAACAGAGATGAGATGATAGTTGAGGTCCTCATTTTTCAATCCAACAGTCCACATGAGAGGTTTATATATGACACATTCACTATAAAATTTCGCAAACCTAATAACAGCACCAAGACTGATAGCTCAAGAACTTGAAGCCCAAGTCCAGGATGGTTCAGAAATGACCCATTTGCCAGACTTGTTATGTTTTTGCTTAATGGGCTATTTGTGCTTTTTGATGGGCCATGCTTGTTTGGATCAGAGCCCAAAATAAGCCCAAAACATGTAAAAGCCAAAAACCCTATATCGTAATTGAATTGCCCTCTGAACTGAGAGAAGTCCGAGCTCTGATTCTGAAGGAAAGAAATGGCAGCTAATGGAAGCACCAGCCTAGACAGAAAGCAATTGATAGCATCAGCTCTATGCAAACACTTCTCTTTAGATCCTGTAAGCAATCAAACCGATCTCTCTTAAATTTGCAACTAAAGCTTCAAGCTTTCTTCTTGGTTTCCTTTTTTCCTTTTTTGTGGGACTTTGGTTGCTTAATCTTAAACTTGGATTCTGCAGAAAACGTTTCCGGAAAACATTGCTGAAGATGAAATCACGAGTTTCTATACAACCATCTTGAAGTCAGCCAAAAACGACGCCTCAGTGGAAGTGCAAGATGGGGTAAAGTTTTACTGCCTGAACATTTTAGTTATAATGCATTTCTGGCAACTTTTATATCAATAATAAGTAAAGACTTCATCTTTTGGGGGTTGTAGGTGCTTCAATGGATAAGATATGCAGACGGTTTTCTTACAGATCCCCAGGCATGCTTTGAAGTTCTGAAAGGGTTAAATGATACCTTGGCTGACTTGTCTGTGCTTTTGGGAAATGGTTTCACACCCTCTGAAGCTGATGTTATTGTGTTTGCTGTGGTGCATTCTTCTGTGGTATGGATTGTTGTTGTTCACTTTCAATTGTTGAATTAACTCTATATATATGTGCATGCATGCATGTTGTGTGTAATGGATCAGTGTTGTTTTGCATTTTCAAAGATTTTTGAGTGGTTTATTTGCAGATTGGCCTTTCGAATTCAGATAGGCAAAAGTTGCCGCATCTGTTGAGATGGGTGGATCACATCCAGGTATGCATTTCCTTTATGTTAATCTTTAATTAAGTTTATTAGAATCTGTTAGCAACACTAATCGAAAGTGTGCCAGTGATTTTCTTTGAAATAAAGTACCATGTGGTTACAAACTCTGCTGTCATTAGATGCAGAAATAACGAGCCACTTGTGGTATCATTTCCCCATGTACCTTTCATAAGTCTTATAGTCAACTAGTGCTCACAACTTTTTTCTCCCCCAGAACAAGGTGGATTTTGGGGACTTACTTAAGAAGATAGTGATAGAGAAGGTTCCATTTGACTTTCTAGTAAGTAAAATTTACTAATTATTCTGAAATTCCTGTTTCATTCTTTACATCTCTGAGCCCTGATATTGCTCATGTTTTCTTGAGAGTCCCAAAGTTGACCTATATTATTCTTGAGAAATAATTGTCCTGTATCCTTTGATTATCACGTCTACAGAAGTTGTATGCATTGCGGGGAGCAAAAAGTGCAGGTAAGGTGGAAATAGATTCAAATGCAAAGAAGACTGTTCAAAGTGCAAAAAGCGCAGACAAGCCAGAGGCAGACCTGAACACAAAGAAAAGTGATGCTGAGGTTTATCCTTTTAAAATTTCAGTTATTCTTTCTCTTGTGTACAATGAAATAATCTTTCTGTCATATGACCTGTTTCTATAATGAATAATATCTTACTTATAATTTTTGCAGCTGTACCTACATGCGTATATTCATATACTTATATATGCATGTATCAAACCTATAGATGATAAAAGGTCCTCAATTTGTTAAATTTTTTTAAGACTTCCATTTTGTTAGAATATCTTGATGATTTGGATTTCCTACAAAAAACAATTCTAGTAAACAGCACGCCTAAAAAGATTAACAGTACCAAACAGTGTAATAGACTCATGCAATGAATTCCAAGATTAAACTACCATAAGATGCTTTCGATCTGAAACCACCTCAATTCTTGTACTATTCTTCCAATTTCCCATATTGCTATATGAGATATCTATGTAAAGTACTTGAGCTGCATACTTATACTTTCAATAACGGTATTTCCCTTGATCAGTTAGCTAACTGACATTATATCTTTCCATCCTCGTTATTCGAGTTTATGGTTGCGTTTGTGTGGTAGAATTACTACATCCAAACAATGCTTCTATTTCCAGATTTCCTTCCTGGACATTTCTTGCCCAATTACAGTGTATTCTTTTCTGAAATTGTTAGATAAAGGCTACAGGAGATAAGAAAACAGATAAGAAACCCGATAAGAAAGCTACTCAAGAGAAGAAAAAATCTCCAGAAACAGAGGCAGTTGAGAAAGACAAAGAACTTAGTGTCAGTTTGTTGAATATACAGGTTGGCCTCATTCGCAAAGCTTGGAAGCATCCGTCTGCTGATAGGTATGCAGGAGACATTTTTTTCTCTTCTCTTCTAAAGCCAATTGACAGTACTTGCAACGTAGCTATCTTTGCCTCAAGATTTTTACTCTGAATATTATTGTACATCTATAAGATGCAATTCAGTCATAACCCTTGTTTTAAAACATGATACAGTTTACTGGTTGAGGAGATTGATGTTGGAGATGCTAAATTGCGACAAGTGGTCAGTGGCCTGGCAAAATATTGTAGTCCTGAGGAGTTGACGGTATGATTACTGCTTGATCTTTTGGAAGTAGATAGTTTTTTCACTTGGTTTTTTTTGCATGGGTTTATATTGATTTTCACCTTTGTTAGATGAATATTCACACTTTCTGATATATTTTGGTGTTTGCATGCACTATGCAGAACCGTAAGGTTGTGCTGATTACAAATGTGAAACCTGGAAAGTTACGCGATGTGGCGTCAGAAGGACTGGTATGTGTTTCTTGTCATTTGCATCATAGTACTCTCACTTCCGGTAATCAAAATCGTGCCTTTCTTTTCATATTTTGTGTTCAAATCTTCAACTTGTGAATAAAAAGTGTTTTCAAGTTTTCGCTCCATCCCTTCAAATGAAACATTTATAATCTCAATGTCTATTCTCTATAGTACAAGATTCCAAATCTGTACCATATATGGTCACAGCTTATGAAGAGTCTTTTTTAGTGAAAGCTGAATTTTTCTAGAATAAGCTTCTGCTAAACAAATATGAAGGTATGGGTTTCATTTTTGTGCATGTGTTCAGGTGCTATGTGCTTCTAATGAAGATCACACTCTTGTAGAGCCTTTGCTCCCTCCAGAAGGAGCCAAACCTGGGGAACGTGTGTCATTTTCTGGGTAAGTTAGCTGAAACTACTTGGAGCTTGAACAAATATTTTCATTGGTAACTTATAATGCAAACATAGTTGCAAAAGTGAGGGCTTTTTATTTTATTAAAATGTTATTTTGCAACTGTGCTGGTAGAGTATTTTTGCACTTATGGGAAGCTTTCTAGCTGGTTTTGAATTTATTCAATCCTCAATTATAAAGGTCAAAGTAACCTAATTTTCCCCTTACAATAGTCTGTTAAAACTGAGAATCACAGCATTTCTTTTTTGAAGTTCTAGCCCACCATTAGGGTTGAAAAAAATATCTGAACCATCATGGTGCCCCTGTTTTTGAATTTGATTGAACTAACAACCAGGGTTGTATGTGTGGAAGAAAATAACAAATTTGATGGAAAACTGGAAGTTGCCTACTCCTACATTTTATCAACAAATAGACGTGACTTTTTTAGAGTGACCTCATTTGCCCCCCATGTACTGTCTATATTCATTTGTTCAACACTAACTGCTGTTTATGATTATCATCATTATTATTATTATTTCTCCCTAAATAATTGACCCTTTGGACTAGTTGTTTCTCACATACACTTCTTTTTATCCAGGGTTGATGGAAAGCCAGAAGATGTCCTCAACCCAAAAAAGAAACAGTTGGAGAAGATCACACCGGTATGTTCTTTTTTCTTTTGGTTATGGGTTTGTGGATAGTGTTCAGTAGGGGACAACCATAGTTGTGCTGCAGAATTTATACAGATTATTCACACCTCCTATGGAACTTGTAGTCAACAAAATTACTGCTTAGCCAACCATTAAAAAGTTCACTTGAAAATTCTGAGGTTTCTGGGGGTGATTTAGTCTGATGATTTGCAAGATGCTTAAGGTTTTTGGATTATCATCTATGTGGTAGTCAATTGATTCCTGAATGGTGGCCAATATTACCACTTGAGTGACAAAAATACAAGGATCTAGTAGGACATGAGTTATTACAGTTAGGGTGAATTAGTCATACTGTCATCCGCTCTGCATTTATTCCTAAAAAAATTATGATGCTCAAAGTTGGGCATGCGAATCTCAAGGGTGTTTCATTGTTGCAGCATCTTTTCACTGATGATAAGGGTGTGGCTACGTTCAAGGGTATTCCTTTTATGACCTCAGCCGGGCCTTGTACATCATCCATTTCCAAGGCAAGCATCAAATGATGATCTTTGGCCCATCCAACAAAAATTGTAACTCACACTTTTCAAGGATTTTCTCAGCAATGCATTAGTGGCCCTCATTTGATGAGAAAATATTTTATGGAAATGCAGGTTCATTTTCCTTTTTGAAAATGGAAAAAAATGTTGTAGTGAGGCTAGTGTCATATCAAACAGGGTTCATGTCGCCTTACCCTCCTATCAAATGCTTTTACATGCTGTTGCAATCAATTGAAATTTTTCACAATGCCATGTGACCGTGTGACAGTCGAACTAAAAAAAATTAAAACTTTCGTGGATAAGAGTAGTAGTACTAAGCAAACTGAGTCATTGCTCACGTTTCTCCACAAAGCCAGCAGCTAACTCATAATCTCGTAAGGTAATGAGAGTTATAGGACAAGTGAACCTCTTAAAACATCAAATTAAGTTGTTACAAAGGAAAGAAAAAAGAAAAAAGAAAAAAAAAGGAAGTCTGGTTTTCGAAGCTGCTACAGAATCAGACAGATGACGCTGATGTTGCAGTGTGCTGTGGTGGCCTAGAGATATACCAGTCTTGTCTGTAATCTGCTCTTGAAAATGTACCTTGTCAGAAAAATTTGTTGCTTTGTCATTGACAGAAGAACAAAACAAGCAGGCCTGGAACACATCAACCCTTTTGATCTTATCCATTAACTAAAACAAACTTGTTTCCTACACGAGTAATGTTTCATTTCATATATGCCGCACAAATCGTTTTTAAACCACATTTTATTTATGGAAGCAAATCTTATCTCTACAAAAGATGTGGTTAATTTATTTTGCAAAAAAAATGGTTGAAAAGTCTCACTGTGTGACCCGTGGTGCAATTATCTGTCGTTTTGAACAATTGAGGGTAAATAGCAAAGTGAGTCAGACAGACAGACTAGAACACAGAACAAAGATGCTGTCGTTTTATATGGTTTGTTCGTTACCATTACGTATGTATGGATCATTCTGCACAGTTTGCGCCAAGAGATTCTGTATAATTTCAAAGAGTCAGATCAAAATCGGATCTTTTGGACATTGGTGGCGCCAAATTTGATCCACCAGATAATTCATATAGTAACTTTATCCCCCTTCCTTTGACCAGCTAACTCCAAGTAACCATCAATTTTGGTGTCTTTCATTTTTCATTTTTTCTAGTTGAATTTTTTTATGGTGGAAGATTTACCTACTTATAATAATCTCATGAGGCCATATACAGCAACCCCAAATTAAATTGATGGTTAAAAAGAAGCACTAGTTTGAAGTTTCATAGAACAACAACCGTCTTAAATAACATTTTATGCTGTTAGTACCGTACCAGTCTGTTTACTGTTGGGAGAGAGAGAGAAAGAGAGAGAGAGAGAGAGAGAGTATGTATTCCAAAAGGGTATAATGTGCTCCTGGTTATTATGGTATCAGCAGCCAGCAGCAGTGAAAATCTGGTAGAAATGAATCAAATGACATAATGCAGCTGTATTCATGCAGACTTCTGATACGTACTGATTGCTACACACACAAACAGAGAGAGATGATGTGGTGGGACTTGGAAGAAGGGAAACTGGGGACTGAATCAAATCAAGGTAGAAACCCAAAAAGGATCACAAAAGATCTGTGACTGGATACTGATTCTGATTCTCTCTCTCTCTCTCTCTCTCTCTCTCTCTCTCTCTCTCAATATCTTCTAAAATTCCTCGCACACCAACAACAAAACCTATCCTTTTCTTTAATACAATGCATTTACTGTAACTTCATATAAATACAACCCAACCCACCACATTACACATTATCTTATACGTTCATACATTTCTTATGAGTTTGTTTTGTTTTATGTATGCGCAGCGCAGGTTAATTGCTATTGTCAGAGAAGTCGTTTCGTTTTAGGTCTTGTGTAATTAATTGCGTGTCTTTTATTGCAACTGCGTTTATTAGTGCCTTTTCTTTCTTCCTTTTTGCTGTTACATAGCTTTTAATGTTTAGACTCTGCCCTGCCTATTGAGTGGTGGGTGAGGCGTTATTGTTGGGTTTAAGACCTATGGAGGCTTCTTCGGCTTCATCTTCATCTTCATCTTCAACGGGTTTCATGGAAAATGTGGAGCAAGCCCATGTTTTGGCTGTTGACGACAGTATCATTGATCGCAAACTAATCGAAAAGCTACTCAAAAATCTGTCCTGCAAAGGTAACAAACACTCTGCATGCTGCAAATCCCTCTGTTTTCTCTGTATTCTCGTGCTAATCTTCATTGGACACTGGTTAATGATTGTGAGGGATTTTGGATAATAGAAGGATTAAGAAGACTTTTTTTTTATGGAGAACTAAGTTAATATAAATATTTTTCAAAGGGCATAATGTATATATAAAAACCAGAGTTTAGTTATATAAATGCATGTCCTATTTTTCCTTGTTATTATGTAGTTTAACAAATGCCAGTGTTCTTCAATGGGTGCAGTGACTACTGCAGAAAATGGGCTAAGGGCATTGGAGTTTTTGGGCTTGGGAGATCATCAAAACAGTAGCTTAGAGGGCAATGTGAGTAACTAAAACTATATGCTCAGAGAAATTTGATAACAGTCAATAGAATAATAAAATCAATCCCCTTGGTATGAACTTGCTGTTTGTTGGTAGTTATGTAATTTTAAAGATTTTTACTAAGAAGAGTTCTGTAAGTATTTGCAGATCTCAAAGGTAAATCTGGTAATTACAGATTATTGTATGCCAGGGATGACAGGCTATGAACTACTCAAGAAAATCAAGGTATTGTGGCAAACTCTTTGAGCAAATATTACCTCAGATTTACATTCTTTATTTGTAGTATCAAATAAGGTTAAAGATATGTTCATGATTTCTTAACCCCTTTGACCATATGTGCACATTGCATGCATTTCCTTTTTGCATACAGGAATCATCACTCATGAAGGAGGTTCCAGTGGTGATTATGTCATCTGAATACGTACCGAATCGTATTAACAAGTAAATGAACATAGCTTATGATGTGTGCTTTCTTTTGTTCTTTTCCTTTATTTTTGTCACTTTAAGGTTTTTTGTTTCTGCTCAACAGGTGCTTAGAGGAGGGAGCTCAGATGTTCATGCTAAAGCCTCTCAGACAGTCGGACATAAAGAAATTGAGATGTCATTTGATGAAATTGGAAAGAACCTGAGAAGAAAAAAAGTTTATAATATCCCTCATGACATAGAACTTAGAACTCTCCTTCAACTGCTAATTTGTAACATCTGGTTTTGTTTTGCTCAGAACTTGTTATCTCCACCTTTGCATTATTGTATGAGGCACAGAGATACTTTGAAGTAACATTCATTTTGTTTGAGAATCAATTTGCCTTAGAAAATTGAAAGAAATATTTTCCATTGCTTTTACTCTGATGCTTTGCTTTGCTCATTGTTTTAACAAAGTATTGACCATGTTACGCAATTTCATACAGTGAATATTATTACCAGAATCATCGACAGCCTCAAACACGAAGGAAAAATCGACATACGAAAATTGGAGTCTAAATTCAATCATTGTTGTTCAATAATTTACAAAGAAAAAGCTATAGAATCATGAGGATATACAATCAAAATTCCTAACTGCAGCGATTCTAAATTGACGGAATTTGGACTCTTGTAGCCCTTGACATATGCCAAATCCCAAATTTTCTACATTTCTAAACATGTTCTTCTCCCCAAGGACCCCAACCTTGATCTTCTGCAGGATAACCAGGAAAACATCGCGCATGATTCACTTCCTCATTGGATACAAGACCTTGAAAGTAAATCTCAGGTGCGTGCAATCACCCGTATAAGGTAAACTGGATGTTTTTTTGCAGCCTTGATCTTCCTTGACATGCATATTTACACAAGAACCAAACAAAGTGGTGATTGATTGATGAGGCGCATCTGATCCCATATTTACCGCCCAAATTCGTGTTTTTCCTCAGAGGATCCGACACCAAATATAAAAAGAAAAATGCAGCAAAACTTCAAACTTCTCCACCAGCAAAATAAATATTGCAAAGTCAATCCCAATATCATGAAAACTCGTGGAAATGTCTGCGGTGGTGGTGATGGTGGTGGTGGCGGTGTCTGCACTCATCCAATCCAAAGCACCGCATGACAGGGAAACAAGTCACAAACATGCATCTCCCTATCCCTCTAAATATTGAGGACACTGCAAAGCAATGGCATGCCCTTTTCGGATTGCGCAGGCGTTTCTTCTTTCTTCCATTGCTGTTAGAATGATCATGGCCGTCACAAGGACAACGTTGATGCTTGCCCATCACCTAAGCAACAATCACCTAACAAAAAAGAAAAAGAAAAAAAAAGACCAAGAATTCGTGAATATTAATCCAAAACATGACAACCCAATTGCATCAAAAAGAAAAGGAAGATCAAAGTTCAGCGCTTTTTGCATACCTTGAAAACTTGTTGGTGATGGGTGAAGCCCTTGTTTTCTCTCTTGGGTTGACAAGAGAGAATAGAGAGAGAGAGAGAGTCAATCACAACATGTGATGTGTGGCACTGGCGTTAGATTTAGACAGGTAATGGGGTAAAAAGAACAAGTCTTGAAATGGAACCTTAAAAATGGAGTTTAAATATTTGATGGATGTGATTAATTGTTGTAAGCCAGACGAATATTCGTTTTGATAACAGTGATGAGGGTTCTTCTGAGCTAGGAAGCAAAGATGGGAGGAAGGGCTTTTTGTGCTTATTGTTTGCGCGTTGTGTGTTGCTTGCGTGTTTGGCTCTCCATCTTTTGCTACTAATTATAGAAAATTAGTGCTGTCTTTTCTTTGCATTTCTTTCCAATGAAATTGGGATGCTACAGCTGAGCTCTGAGTCAAATTTTTCTGTGTGCTACAATATTTATTCTAGTACAAGGAACCCTGAGATATGCCAGGCCAAGCCAAGCATGTGCTCTGTCAAACTTTTGAATTGAACAATCCATTGGATTAAGTGACTGTGAAATCTATAAAAAGAAGAGAAATTTCTATTGTTAGATGTAATTGATATTGACGTTGACACACCAATTGGCACTCTCTTCGGGTGTTTATCTCTTTATAACCACAACAATCGACCGACTTAAAGATTAAGTTGAAATTTGAACAATATGCATGTATAGAAAAAAGTTTTGAAGATGCTTTTTTTTTTCTTTTTATTACGTGACCAGAGAATTGTTATTAGCACTCTAAAATTATTAGCGTTCGCTATTTTTTTTTAAAATTTAACCAAATTAGTTGATTTCCTTGAGTTAGTTAAAGTGCAATATTCCCATAATAGTTTTAGATTTATAAATCATTTATAAAATCATTTGATGAAATTGTAATATAAGGGTACAGTTGATATTTATAAGAAATAAAATAAAGACAGCGGATAGAAAGGTTCCAAAAACTGTTTTGAACTAGAAGCGAGGGACCAAGCGCTCATTCTCAGTCTCACCGGGAAACAATGGCGGCGCTGTTAGAGCCACCGCCACCATTTCCGCTTCTTCCTCCCAATTCAAACTCAACCCGTCCCATTCCGTACAATCTCAAACTTGGAAGGCCAGCGAACTCTTCGAACAAGCCCGCGCTTCTTCTCAGCCTCCACTCCCCAACTACCACCACCACCACCACTCCTTGTTGCGCTGCCACTCCCGAACAACCCGCATCCGAATCACCCGACCCGGTTCCGGGGACTGCTTTGGTGCGGACCCGGGACCGCCGCAGAGCTGTCCGGTTAGCCTGGGAGAAGCTGGTCCGGTGGTCCAGGTCCTGGCGCTCCAAGGCCAAGACCGATGTCCTTGAACGCACTAACAAGGTCTGCCTACCCTTTTCCCCAATTTTGCGTTTGGATTTCGTAGAATTACAAAAGCTTTCATTTTTCACTTCAAATTAAGCTTCTTTAGTATTGGGTTTTTGACTTTTTAGGTAGTGGTGCTTGGAGGTGGGTCTTTTGCTACGGCAATGGCTGCCCATGTTGCAAATAGAAAAGCCCAAATGGAAGTTAACATGCTGGTGCGTGATGTTCAAGTTTGTCAGTCTATTAACAGCAACCATTGTAATCGGTAAGGCCATATCTGCATCCATCCAGCATGCA